TTTTTTTTTTTGCAAGTTTCCAAACATCTCACTACTCTCAAACATAAATTTATGCACATCCTGGTGGAGATGACCACTGAAAAAATCAATTTCCTTTGCCAAGGACATCTGATGAACACATGGTGAGGCTTGAAGCTATAGCACCTTACCATGTTACTCCACTGGACAGACACAAGTTTGTCTTTCACTAAAATTTCTAAGCTACGAGATCAATGTGTCTTTTTTTTGTTATATTATTTTTTTACCTAATAAAATGTTTTCATTGAAATATAGATGCAACGAAGCAAATTAACCTTTATCGCACAAGGGTTATAGGTTATGGGTTTATATTTTAAATTGACATGGCAAATTAAATATGTTTATTATAGTAAATGGTTTGAACCCAGGAGTATCAGTAGTTTGTATAGTTTGATCGTTCAGGTGAGGGTAGTTCTGAAAAGAACTGTTGTTGGTGACTGACGTTCCGACAACTTGAGCGGAAGTCATCTTCAGAGTCAAGTGAATAGAGTTTGTCAGTCGATGATGTTATAAGTCTGGCCCGTTGAATGTGATTGGCCAGTTTAGCCATGATGGTATTGGCTGAAAGACTCATGTAAAGTTTGTCATCAGTCATTGGTGGGTTTCGATTCACTTGACTCTGAAGATGACTTCCGCCCAGATTGTCGAAACGTCAGTCGCCAACAACAGTTCTTTTCAGAACTACCCTCACCCAGACGATCACACCATACGAACTAAATATGTTCATCATATTAAACATGAAACTTAATTAAGCCACAATGAATTCACTGACCTGTTTAAAAGTAATGGTGACATTGCAAGTTTGAGCTATATGCTGGATAGTTGGTGAACTGGCATCTGTTGGTAGTCTTCCACTCAGTGGTAATTCAAATGTCAGAACCAAGGGCAGCAAATCCTGATATGAAAAAAATAAGTGGTGTATTAGGGACATAGGGCCCTTAACATCTCACCAAAAATTTGGGGCATGTTAAAAACACGAAATGGCAAAATGACAAAATGGCAATGCAGGTAAGAGTGAATGTGGGATACAGGCGTCTAAGAGGGTCAACCTTTTCAATTAATGAGAGCTAACCACTGTTGAGTCAATGATAATTAGGCTAACCTAAGTGCTATTTAAAGGCTACCCAAAGTACTATTTAGGCTAAACATAGAGCCATTTTGTCATTTCACCTAAAAATTTCCAGTGGCACAATGGAACTGCATTTTCTGTAATTTACTACATAAGAGGACAATCTCGCAACATACCCAAATTTTCCTCAAATTCTGGCCAGAACCTTCATGGTGTGCAATGTTACTCTCAGAATTTCCAATATTTTAAAATTCAACAATTCTTACATTTTTCAGAAACTTTCCAATAAATTTCTGTACCACTTACCTGTAAAAACTGCCCATAGTTACTACCAATTTTATCAAATATCACATAACAATGCATCTGAGCAATTACCCTGATCTGTTGTCGTGCACTTTCCACATCTAAGGGTTGACCAGCAATTGAAACCTGCAAGTAGAGGCATGCTTAGAACATTTCAACACTGACAAACTTGGCCAATTTAGATGCTATGAGTTTTGCTCAGAACTGTCAGAGGAATGTTCTCATGACATGTCTTAGGTCCCATTCACACATACACTTAATCTGGATTTAAACAAAGGAATTTGAGAGCAACTCAACATAAGAGTTACACTACATTTATAACTATAATAATTACATAATTAAACCAGATTTTCTTTTTAATCCTTTGTGAGTCATGAATAAATTAAGCCTACTTTTACTCTTAAGTTAGCCAAATCTGGGAAATTTGTGGGATATATGACATGATTACATGGTTGGATCAGCAGAACATTTTTAGGCTGGAGAAGAGGTAAAATCAGTTAACTCTCAGATTTCAATTCTTATAAGTAATTTAATAAGTAATTAAAGTTAAAGTTAGGTTGGCATCTCTGAGTACCCTCTTAAAAATGCAAACCGTGCTGATTGATAAAAAGGCATTTAAAAACTCCCTGAATTGATGAACTTATAAGCACACATATTAATTAAGTTACCTCTAAAACTTGAAATAATAAATCATTATGTAAGTATGTATTAGCGATAACAATACCCTACTTGATTGCTCTTTTCATTTGTTGTTCCTCTGTTTGAATCAGGAAAGTGAATATGGCATCCAGTATCCTGCATAACTGCACAAAATTATTAACAATATTATTAAGAAAATAGAGAACTACATGTACCATACTGGGGTAGATCTGTAGCTGTGGTGAATGGTTCCATCCAGGGGACTTAGCAGGTTACTTCTTAAACTGGTTCTTGCACAATAACAAACCATTTTCCCTGCCAAATTATAGTTATCAACAGTTTAGAGCTACCCTAATTTTTTGGAGTAGCAGTTGTGCCAGGAATGTTGAGAAAAGAGCCAGCATAAGTGAAGAGGTCCAAAAATTTCTGAGGATGTTCCAACGATTTCAGAAAACATTTTGAAGATTTTTTGGTCGCAGTACCAGGATGTGTTTTATCAATCATAACATTGTCAAAAGTAACTTTTCCCATGAAAATCAGAGAATTTGGAGAGGCATACCATAATTTACATTAAAGGGTTTTTCTTTTTTGCATCAGTCCCAGTTTATGTATTTCTTAAAAGCATATTTTCAGCTGGGTGTAATAAATTAACCTGCAGGGATGCACTGGCATGAGATCAAATTTTGAGACCCACAGGTGAAAGACTCACACTAAGGTGTGAGAATTAATGGCAGGTACATTATTACGCTATTGCTGTACATGATGACCCAAATTTAAGAAATCATATATTGTGTATTAATATCAATATTATGGAAATATATACACCTCGCCTGATGTTCCCTCCTCCTTTGCCAATAATATGTGAATGGTCAGTATGAGATACATCCATTTTAAGTGTCACCCTGCTCGACTATAAAGGAGACATCAAAATCAAGGAATGGTCAACAAACATGTGGCTCAACTGTGCACAGAAATACAGTGTAATGCACCTGAGGCCTTACAGAGTTGACAATGATTCAAAAAGCTTTTCTAAGAATACTATTTTAATCTCTAGTATACCTTTGTATCCAAGACTGCCATGACTTTCTCTTTTGCTAGTCGTACAGAATCAGGCAGGCCTTCTACCTTAATATGTGGATCTGAATAACAGGCGATAAAATTGCAGTATATTAATTATAAATAATTGCAGAATGATTAAATTAATTACTCACCAATCAGACTACTCAGCCAATCTCAAACCGTAGTTAAACCAAAACCAAAACCAAAGTAATTGTCTAATTACTTTCAACACTCCAATGAAAACTGCTCTAATTGTAGTAATTGCTGTTCCTTCTTTTGTGTTGCCTGTTTTTTTCATATTTTTCAATCACCATCAATTTAACAAATTGATGTCAGTTTTTCATGTGTCTGTTTTGTTATTGATCATGATTTTCATCATAACACTGTCAAAGTAACTGTGGATCCACGAGGCGATAGCTGTAGCTCATTGTCAATAACAGGACACATGCATTAAAAACTGACATCAATTTGTTTTACATGATAACAAATTGTCAAATTGTCCACTCTCGCTTGTTGACACATCGCATAAATCATAAATTCATGTGTCTGTCAACTTATTGACAATAAAAATTAGCCAATGAGTACGCGAGAATTTCAGCAGTTATCGTAAAACACCTCTTTTTCTTTAACTCAAAGACAACTTTTTTGGGTTTTAAATATTATACAAGAACTATAGAGCCTGTTTGTAAACACTTCTGCTTCTCTGTGAGAATTGTTATGCAAGAAAAATGCAATGAACAAGCACAATGAATACCAAGGCTTAATTTCAATCAAACAGTGAGAATTGAAAACTAGCGCTCCTTTATATAGACCTGTAAAACTGTGTTTCTCCCCAAAGCACAGGTCTTTGACACAAACTATCACACTATTGAGACAAACAATAGTAACAAGAAAAAAGTACAGTAAAATATATCTGCTTAAGAAAAACAGTTTAAGTTTCAAAGTAAATAAGGATACCACAAGAAAATTGAGTTGGCATATTCCCAAGACTTCATATAATTTAATAGAGTTTCACAGAGCAGATGGTCTTTGAGGAACTGTTATCATTACTCCACATAAAACTTTCTCTTTGCCAATGCAAACAAATGAAAAGGATATGGCTTCATTTTCAATGAAAAGGGTCAGTTTACATGAAGAACAGCTCCAGCTATGTAATCATATTGCATTACTTTTAATTCACTTAGCACAAATTATACCTATGAGGCCGTACTATAGTTTGTCCCTGCAAAAATCGATACTTTGCAAACTGACAACTCCAGTGTTACAATTTATTTATCAAATATCTGATTATGATATCAAAAAAGTAATAAGAATAAAACTATAAAGCAAAAAGATATAGAAAATGTATATAACAAAATCATGACACCATCTTGTCTACAAGACACAACATTATAAACAAAAACAATTACTATTTCATGAACGATGTTCGAAGAGTACATTGTTAAATATCAAGATGCAAAACAAAGATAAAAAGGAAAAAAATTAACACAATTTGCTTTGTAATTAAAAGTGTACTAAAATTTGCAAATTTCTCACAAAAAAAGAAAAAAATATTAATTATATTAATTGGAAACTTAGATATAAAACTTAAAACCCCTGCTGAACGATATTGCTACTAATGATGCTAAAAATTGTGTAAGTTGTATACATATTTCTTCATTCTGAGAATCAGCAGGACTCCGTTTGAAAAAAATGGATTTTAACATGAAATGCCTAATTCTATTTACCTTGCACTGCAAAGATGAATATGTGTTGATTCCATTGCTGTATTATATTAAACTGGTAAGAGGGGTATGACTAGCAAATCGAACCCCTCCTTATACAGATGCTTATTTATACAGACCAGCAGTACCCATGGTCCCAGCAAAATGCCCAATTTTTTGGCATACAATTTCCATAAAAATCTTTTGTTATGCAGAGGCTCTCTAATACAGACACTGGCAACTAAATGTCGACCCCCCAGTGAATTTTCACTTAAGCATAACCTCTTTATCACTGATAAACCAGTGATAATTTTGTATTCAATGCAGTTTACTATTTGTTCTATAATGTAGATGAACAGCAACTAAAAGTAACATTAGTTATCACCACTTATCAGTGGGATTTCTAGTCCTTTGAAGACCAAGCTCCACAGCTGATGTCTTGTAGAATAACATGCAATAGTGTGACTGTGACCACTGAATGGCTATTATACAATTTAGATGCACCTCAAGGACATGCTTGAGTAGGTTTTGACTGGAAAAACACTTCATGCAAGTGCTGTCAATGGAGCCTTTGCAATGACATTATAAGTGTGATCTTTATAACACAGACCCCTCTCTAACATGGCCACTTTGTTCTGCCCCTTGCATCCATATTAGAGTGATTGGAGTATTTTTGCAGCCTCTCATTGTGAAAGGGGTAAGCCATGGGTACAAGGTCCACTTATCATTTTGAATGTGTTCCGAACCATGACCAATAGTTATTGAGGATGTTGCAAATGGTATTTTTCAAAAGGTAACGACATCTTCAACTTTAAATTCAAACAGGTTACGCAAAGCAAGTGAACCACCAAAAAGTTGCATCGCAGCCTAACAGCCCATGCACAGGGCCATAGCTAGTAACAGGAAAACCAATCAAGGCACTTGCCTCAGTCATTGTTGTTGTTGTTGTTGTTATTGTTTAGAGTCATCATAAACACCCTAAATACCTAAGAAGAGAATTTAACCATGCACATTACCTCAGTCATAATTCTTTCAGGGACATAAATAAATGCCTCATTCCTAATTTTTCCTGGCTTCAGTCCTGAAGCACATAAACCAAGGACACCTAAGAGTTTTCAACCAACCACAGGACAAGTTTCAGGGGAGCAAGAGAAACTTAGGTTGGTTTGTACTGGCATGAATCATGCTCATGTTCGAAGTTTGTTGATTTGAATGACATGACAAACAAGTGATAAGTGCCAGTGAAAGGACAGTAGAGCTAGACATATGTGTGTGAATTCCTAAGGAACTAAACATTGGTCATTTATTTACACTTTCAGGCATTTACATGCACATACATCTTAACTCAACCACTCTGAACCAAACATTTAAACACTGTTGACTTTCATGTGTCGTAGTTTGTTTTTCGGTATATAATTGAAGGATAATTTATTTAATTTTGTTCTTTGTCCCCAATGCGGTGAAAAGGCTGACTGATCAGAGACATCCTAAACTCTTAATCTATGCAAGCTCTATGATGAGAGTAGATAGCAGAGTGTAAAAATAACAACTATTATGTTTCAATTTGTTCTGCTTTCTGCACTGAGCTGTTTTTGAGAAAAAATACACTTGAGGTTGGGTCAGGTCAAGTTTAATCTGAAAAGGGACTTTGCCCACCATCCTCCTACAGCCGTCTTCTCTTCACTTACACTTTGCCACAATTTAACACTATATAATGAAGTAAACTACAAACACAGAGCCATAATCTGAGAATTATTTACCTTCAAGGTTGATACACTCCGAGATTATTTATGTTTATAGCTCATGTCCCACACAGATAACAATTAACTTGCTCAAAAATGTACGATCAGTTGTGTTTCACTAAGAAAAATAATCATCTTAACTCACAACTTAATTACTGCATTTTGGTGGATACTTCCTTAGTTGCTGAGCGTAAAGATCACCGGTATGTTTTAATGTTCCTCAAGTATGATGAGATTTTATTCAGCCACATAACTGGTGTCTCAGTCGACGCATGTTTACAACACAATTATGACCATCGATTACACTAGCATTCCATAAAATGCATCGCAGCAAAGCCATTGTTTGTTGATATCAATTTGCACGGGTTTAAACCTAACAAAAATATTTAAAAGTAAGGTAGTTCAAAACTCCCGTCGAACATCAAATTAACACCTTTGACACGTGCCGAGAGACTTCTACTTCGGCTCTACGCTTTGAAATAACGTCAAACGAAGCAAATAAACCCTATTGTTTACTTCCAAAGTTCATAAATACATAGAGAACATTATCAAATATACCGCGCGACGCCATCTTACTGAAGAATCGGCAACGAACCGAATTTCGAACTCGTGCTTTCATTTCCGACTAATTTGACATCAAATACGGTAATGTGAACATCTCGGCACACGACATCAAAGCACGCGATAGAAAAGATTGCTATATAGTTATCGAGTAATTTTATTTGCCATCCCATATCGTCGAGACGCTGATGGTTATTACGTTCGTGCTGGGAAATGTAAGCAACAAAGGCTTGATTAAACGAGGGGCATAAGGTCACTTAGCGTGCGTGACTCGCTCCAGCAAGCGTGTCGTCGCCGTGAAATATTCCCAGTTGGAAAAAACATGCATGAATGACTCCATTTACTAACAAATTGAAACGAATAATTCACTTTCGACATCCGTGAGCTAATTGATTGTAGTGAAAATAAGATTTTTACTGCCTGTAGTAGCTCAATTCCTTCGAATAAAGGCAAACATACATTACTCCAAGTAAACACTGGCGACTTGTTCTTCCTAAACAAAATCGAACAACACTTGACGATTGCCAAACAAAATTTTCCAGAGCGTGCCACGACCGGCCCACAGATTGATACTGCGCTTAGGCGAGGATAAGATATTGGAAAGAACATATTTGAGCGAAAACATCATGAGACTTGTAAACTCTCTATCAGTTAAAGCCGAGTATAATAGTAAAATAGGTTGGGAATGAAACAATGCTGGAACACAACCAAATAATATTACGACGTCGAGTTAATAGCGGTATCTATGGAAAACTAACTGCAAAACAGATCGAGGTAGAAATAGAACCAGTGGAGTATAGTCTCTCCCCGCCGTATTAAACAGTTTGTTTCTATGAAACAAAAAATCCCGTTTCCAAAAAGGCTCACGAGAAATTATTTTTTCGTTCGGAAATGCAAGGGTCAAAACGACGAGGATGGAGAGGACAAACGCGATTTTCGTCTCGCATCGTCAAACTCATAGATTGCCTGAAGGAATAGTTCTAAGAATAAACACAGATACAATCGCGCTGCTTATCGTTGGAAAGAAAAGCACGAGACAATGGAAATTAACCACAAAAGAAAATTATTCTAAGCAACACAAAAGCTGTTGCTGGTATCATTAACAGCAAAACAAGGCTCTTCCCGAAACTAAAGGAATTAATAAAAGTAAATGAATCGTTTCGTTTAATTTCCCACTGTCGAAATTCTCGTTGTTAAATGTTCGCAGTTGAACAGCGGGCCAGCCAGTCAAACGAATCAAAACAAACTCTGTCTCCACTTCAGTCCACAATAGTTTTGAGTATCTGACCCGTACTAAATTAATACAGTACCCTGTCAACCAAGAACACTGCTCTTGTCTTCTCACTGAGAGTGATTTTTTTCAGGGCCAGTGGAAAGTAAAACGCATCAAGCCACCCTTAATAAACTCACAAGTTGTTCACTGACTCACCTTTCTTGGATTTTGCTCCGATCTTGAGTTTAGAGGGCCATGTTATGGTTGTCGCTGTTTCCTCCATAATCTACGAAACATACCACCGCAAAACAATTTCATTTCCCAGCTGTAACTATGTGGAGAATTATAAATGATAATTTGACCTTCTCTAACCTTCTGAAAGAACTCCTCGCCTGTTTGCCCACATCCCTCCACGGCAGCTAAAAATTATAAACAGCAACATAAAATTCAGCTGATTATCAAAGCAAAATACAATCCAGAGTAAATAGAAATCGCAAGTTCCTCTGATTTCAGAAGAGCCTGACCTTGAAGCATTTGCTCCAGTTTACGGCGATCTACGCGAAATCTTTCCTCCACAAAATTAGGATCCCGTTCCTCGTTAATTTCATCAGCAAGTATATCTTCTTCGTCGCAGTACTCGAGATCTTTCGCCATCTTCATCCTTGATCACGGCCTGCCAAGCCAGAGTGAGAGAGCGGACGATTTTCGCTCTGCATCGTATTGCGGTATACGGTGTCGTCTTGAACCAATCACGTGGTTAGAGGTGACGTCAGACACGCCCTATTAACACCAAAGTATCAATTAGGCAAGAAAAGCAACCAGCCAATCGTGACGCCTCGCAATGGAAAAATTGATGTTTGATTGGCCTTTCAATGGGTCGCTTTGCCAAGTTAATTGACATAATTATTGGCCTGTGACAATCAATGTGCGAAGTACAAAAGGTTCCGAGGAAACCCCTCTTTTCCTTTCTGCTATTCAAGCTTTACCGACAGCACAAAACTTGCTAATTTAATATTTGCCGCACAACATGTTTTTGTTTTGGGTTAATTTTGCTCATTGTAAAATATTTATTGGTTTTTAGTCGGTTCAATAGCCTCCCGCTTGGTCGATCACGCGCAAAAATCATTGAGCCCATTGGAAAACAAAAGTAGCTAAACAACGCAAGATATTTCAAAGATTGTTTCCCAAATATTTAACTCGGTGCCTTGTCAAGGGGTATAACTATATGGGTTAGTGGGCAGTTTTGTTAACGCGGTATGAGGAAAGAATTTGCTTTGCTCAGGGAAAACGCCGCTTAAGTAGCATTTCAGCCTGTTTACAGTGCTCATCTACTTCATTGACCGCTCTAAATATCTGCGGTACAAAGTCTGAGGTTATGACAATAAAGAAAACTTATCACCGAGGAATATAGTTTTAATTTTTTCAAGTATTTCATATTCGAATTCAAACAACAAGTTAATATGAAATTGAACCTAACGTTTTATATGATAATATCTGACATTATTGACTTTGTATTTTTCTCGAGCGATTTCTTACATGAAAACTTCTAACGTGCTTTTTTTTTCTGACCCATGAAGATGTCAACATTGTGATCACATGCTTCCTATGCGTTCTGCTTTCAATTTTTGCATGGTGAATACAAATTCAGCCTGTTACAACGCGAATTTGTCTCGCCTTTTAAGACATTCCACAAGCATTTACTCCTCCTACACATCTACATGTTAATCCTTTAACAGACATACGTGAAAATTTTTTTATTAATAAGACTTTATGAAGCAATATCGGATTTCTATGGCTTTTGCAATTAATTAAACTAATTAACTTTCGCTAATTTTCTGGTGAAAGCCTACAATAGCACTCTGATATTTAATTTTGTTCCCTATCGACTACAATTAGCTAAAAAGACCTTTCAACGCGCGGCAACCACTGATCTGTTTTGCAAACAAAAACAAAAGTTCTCAGAGCATTGAAGTGGCATCATGGTCTCTTCACAGTAATTACGGAGGTGAAGCGACCCGTTTAGGACAAACAAGCCCCCATATGCGTTCTCTACATTCCAGATCGCTTAGTTCAGTTACGAAATGAATATTTATACAACACTGACTGGTTGTGCGACTCGCTAGCTCTCTACACATGAACGCTCTCGCTCAAGTTCGCTCCACTGAATGCGGACAAAAAGAACCTGCAGTGAGTATTCATTACCGGTCACTGGGCTTTACCAACATGGTACTCTAATACGCGAGTTAGAGAGCCAAGGCGTTTAGGATATTCGATGAAAATCACTGAGCTTCGAGTATGAAGGGATTCAACCGCGGAATGGCCTTTGAAAAGGAGGTCAAAGGATTTACCAAAACACTCTTAAGTCAAGTCAGTCTGAAAGCGCGTGAGTAATCAGCAGGGGTATTAAGTTTGAAAACAAGCGTCAGACCTTTCAGCAGTGTAGCGCTCAAGCTCTGTTGCAATGAAAGAGAAAGTGCTAAAAGAAATCCAGACTGAGTGTCAGCTTAAATTAACTGCCTCCTCCGATATTCCAAGTATCTGTTAGTACATATACCTATAAAGCCTGACTGTGACAGGTTCATATTCTTTGACTTTCAAGACTTTCTGCAAAAAAATTAAAGACGCGTACTGTTTTGAGGAAGGCTTTTATAACTGTCGTGCCTCAGCGAGAGGCATTTAGAACAATAACTGCTTCAGTTTAATAAGGAAAATATAGGCGATTGGTCATTTCTGGTCTGAGGCCGGGCGCCTAGGTAATCCGATTCGCTTCGTTTCTCCATTAGTAGTCTTGTATTCTGTTTACCCCGGTAACATAGCAACAATACGACGCTAGCTTTGGTCCAGGTCTTTCCGCAAATATCACGTAAAATCGCTTAAATATCTCGCCGGAAAATCTCAAAAATTTTTCTTAACATCACAAAACATTTTCTAAATATCTCGAAAAACCGTCCAAAAATCTCTTGTTTTTGTTTTAAAAATAAAACTGATCTTGAAACACTTAGGCTAAGATTTTTTAAACTTTTCTTGCAGTGGTTTTAGTGTAGCCTGCGAACAGGCTCCAAGCAAGGGCGAACTTCGGGCGAGCCCCGATCACTTCGCCCTCCGAATTCTTTAGTTTCGCGCTCGTCGGATCACTTTGCTCGCAAAACTTTTTCTCCGTCCTCGCCGGGAGTCTGTTGGTAGGCTAGTATAGCTCTTTTACTGTTACTGAGAGACCATGATCATAATCTCTTGGTGATATGGAATACATTCTTCAAGTGGGAAATCGCTGACCTGGACTGTTTCTGGCATAGTATTGACTATTGTTCCAAGAAAATAGCGAAGAAAACACCAGAGTAGGCCCAAAAAACCACAAATATTTCTAAATATCTCTAAATTTTCTAAATATATCGGAAACTTATTCCAAATATCCAAAAAAATGTCCGGATATTTGTGGAAGGGCCTACTTTGGCCTGTTGTTGTTTTGACGAAGACATTTTCGTTCATTTCAGTAATTTCTAGCCGTCCTGTAACACTTAAAGCTTATTGTTGCGACGTGTTGTAGAAAACGAACAAACTGAACTGATATAGTGCAAAATTAATCGGTATCAAGAGTATCTCTTGTCAGTATGTATCTTCAAATGCGCTTTTAAAAATATAAAACTGTGCGCTATGGAGTGGAATTCAAACTGGGATCGAGAAAGTTTGACATGAAGCAAAATTTATTATTTTATAGGTGATCTGTTTTTATATGGGGTTTAGGACTTCCTTACAGATTATCCTTTGGCTTTTTAACCATAGATTGTAATAAATAAATAAATAAATAAATAAATAAAAATTTTCCAAGATATCCTAACCTGGTGAAGTGGTTCTCAATATGACTGATCAGTGCCCGGAGTCTTAGCAAGTTGCTAACTTCTGAAAGTTGTCTGAATCAAACACTCCTTAAATTGGAACCCCTAGGAATTGAATTATATTTTATGAGCACGTGTTTTCTTTAGTTAGTCTTTAGCAGGGTGGTCGCTTTTGCAACGAAAGTTCGGAGACTCCATGCATATCAATGAATGCTTCTGGAAACTAGAATTGAATTTAAAAATACAGAACATTCAGACTTCACGACTGCAGGTGTACTGTGCCGGTATATTGCTACATAGCCTACAAGAAAAAAAGAAACAATACGAAATTCAGATGACTGCATGATTTCGGAATAAGATGTCAGATAAATTATCAGTCTATAAGCTTAACACCCAAAAGTAGTGCTAACTTGTACCCGGAAGGAAGACGTCGGATAGGAAGGCCTAGGTCGACCTAGGGAAACTTGGATACAAACTGTGGAGAGGTAAAAGGGGGAGTTCGGATTCAAAGGCTGACTGGTTGTTGGTACATGTGCTAAGAACTAAGAAGCTTGGTGAGCGAAACGCAAGGCCCTATTTCCCTTGTACGGTAAAGGACATCATGATGATGGGCTTAGAATAGAAACAAAAAAATTGCTGAATGTCCAGAAAGCATGTAGGCAAGTTTCAGTTTTCCATAACTATAAGAATAATATTACCATGGGACTTGAATAAGGATCAGGTTTTAATTAAATCTTTCGTGTCTGAAGCCGAAAAGTATGGAGAACTGAAAAGGCAGTAAAAGGTGCGTGGGATTTTGTTTTGGCCTCGTCACAACAATAACATCCTCCTACAGCGCACTGAATGACGTTTGACAAAAGTTACTGTAGTTCTACAGAGGCTTATACATAAATCTGTATATTTTAAAGGGATGGTTTCACGGCTCGGCGCATGTAGAAGATGGTAACATAAGCCCATTAGATTTCACTGTTTACGGAAACAATCAAAAAGTGAGCTGGTGATTTTGGCGGAAATCTTTTTTCCTGAAAGTTTCGATGAATCGCTAAAACGCTGCGATACAGGTGATATTTCTCTTCTATATAAAGCACCACTCAATTCCATTGTTTATAAACCAATCGGATGCGAGTATTTCAATCGTGCGTATGTACAGTATGAATTCTTAGGCGCCGATGCTCAATCCTAAATTCGTCACTTCACTTCGTTTTTCTTTTTTTTTATTCGTGTTATCAGGAGCCCATGCTCCTAGTTTTATGTAACGGATCCGTCGATATCTTCCGCGTAATTTGGGCGTCAGTCATTCTACTTAGTTACCCAAATTATGGTCTGTGATTGCTGAACTACGTGTTTTAGTAAGAAAGCGAAAAAGCTACTTTATTCTGACGCCAAGTGTCCACCCTGGTATTTGATAATGTCATAATAACTACGAAATTTCCATGCTAGTGACGTCATGTTTTAGGATATAATGATATAAATTTCTGCATTCGTGTCTTGATCCTAGCTTTGTCAAGTCAGACATAAATAAAATTTCTATATTTCCGCTTTGTTAAGAATCGGTTGCTGGACTTGGTCTAGGCCTCGGCCACAGAAATAAACAAGCGGAAATTCCTTAGTTATGTTTGCTATTTTTATTTACTCAACATAAATGCTTCCCATATCAAAACTTAAATGTTTGCTTATGGCTCATGAGTGGAGATAATATTACTAGTCACGTTCGCAGACGATGAATGCTTCCCTGTAGAAGTCTGCATCCAGTGGGACTACTTCTGACCGAATAAATGATCCGACTGAAATCAATGAAACGCGAAGGGGGAACAGGTCTATGTGAAAAGGGTTCAAAACACATAGCAACTACTTTGTGGAACTTGGCACTGACTAAAACATGTCGTAAATTGTAAATGGTAAATGTTTGGCAGTCACTAAAGGTTAAGACTTTGTTCCACATTATAACGAAGAAGGGGTGAGGAAGTCCATTTACAACGACTGTAAGCGACCCCGAGGGTAAAGTTGGAAATCTAAACAGTTATTTAGGATTAAAAATTCTACATTGCAGAAAATATCCGGGTTTTGTCGTGTGGTTTTATTGGCAAACCTTTCCATTGTTGAGCGAGTGACGTGTACGGAAGGGAATATTTAGGCCTTCATGTTGAAGGACGTAGAGAACTAAGAGGAAATGGCTAATCTGCTTGTAGGAAGTCTCGGAGAAGATTGGAGAGATAATCTGAAACCATTTAACCTAAGTACATCTACTCTCTTTCAGGAAAACTTTCGCCTTTAAATTTCCCTTCGAATCTTCTTTCGGGGGTTGAGCGTATTAAGAAACAAATATTTCTGTCTAGCGCGCTGTCGGTTTTGGTTTCCGTTTTTGTTGTTCCTATTCCGGTCACGTTTTCATACCAGAATACTCATAATAGTAATATAAGGATAAAATTCTTGCAACGTGGAATACTGAACGAGCCCAAGCAACAGCTCTTCTAAGGGGTGGACCATTTCACTTTTGAGGGTGGGTTGGGTGATTTGGTATCATGATTTTTTTAAACTCTTTCATGCTCAGTGAATTTTGTTTGCATGGTTTTTTCCTTCCGTGTAACAAGGTTTTCCTTTCGGCTCACCGAACGTGCGTGAATTTTTTTCGGCAGTGGTAGGGTTGTGTGCATGAATTTCTTTTTGGGTGCAAGCATACTTTATGCATGTATATATATTTTTCAAAATCACCCAGCTTCCCGTCAAAGGTCAAATTTTCCACCCCATGTTCCGTTCAAAACACTTCGATTGATGCGGATATTCTCTGTAATATTTTTATCCGCGCGCTAATGTCTTCTACAAGATATAACATCGAGTTTTGGGAGGACTAAAAATAACTCGTGACGTCCTAAAAAGACGGAAATATTTCCTGTTTCTTTGTGTAAATATAGTTTTATTTTTATTTTTAAGACCGATATCAAAGGATCGTAGGTCAAGAACGAAAACCTAAAATAAAAAACTGTTGTCAGCGCTTAGATCACGCTACTTTGGACAACTCTAATAATAGTACAGTAAAACACGGTTAATTCTACGTGTAAGGGCTCTAAACACCTCTATGGCCACAGAAAAGAGTTCTATAAATTTAAAAGAACATCTTGGAGCTGTCACTGTACAGGGACCTACGTAGCACACTGTCTCGCCTGCCCAGCGGGTCTGGACTATGGTCAAGATTTTCACCATCAATTCAATTCAATTCCAAACAATGAGAAGTGACGCGTTTTTTAACCGAAGGCTAAGACCTGGGACTTGACTACATTTACTGATTGTAGAAGCAGAGAAATGGACTGAAACTTTAAATAGCTGAGATTTCAGCACCTCGATAAAGACCCTCTCTGTATTGCAACTGATCTCAAGTAATCTTCCATTGTGCCCAGAAACAAGACCATCCAGCTTGTCAGATAAACGCTCCTTTATTTGGCTATTCATCGACAAGTAAATATTTCGTGGTCATTCACAAGCTTTCAACAATTACCAAACCTAGTGAGACCACGCTCTGAATTGTAGACAACATCCTAATGCCTCGGAACAGGAACTGAGCTGATATATCAACACGTTCAACTCCAGAAGTAAGCCATTTTCTGAGTTAACGATACACTCGGGTGAACAATTCAAGCATGATACCAGAAAAAAGCGTTTTTCTTCTGGTTCCAGGAACCCTTAGTAACAGTAACAGTAACTGTTCTTGTCTCTTGCATGCTCGATAGCCGTGCAGAAACTCTGAATTTCAGAAGAGTTTATAATACTCTCAAGCATACCCATGCTTGTCCGATGTAAGGAATTCTTTAATAACCTAGCCATAACTCCTTCACCACGGTACATGTTTGCTCCCTTACTGTCACGTTGAAAGAAGTTGTTCAAAGTCTGGTGTGCAAATCAAGCGGTGATTCACATGCCCAAGACATATCATCTCTGAGCGGCTGTCCTCAGTATGAACAGCTACAACATCCTGGAACGGAAAAACACTCCTTATGAAAAACAGTGGTTTTTGAAATATAACCTATCATTTGTTTTCTTCCGCGTTGACACACGATCTGGGGAAGTCCTGCAGGGCATTTTCGCTGGTGTTTTGAGTCAAAGAACAACCAGTAGTTGTTGTAAGTCTGTGATTGTTTAGCATGTGTAGCTTGCGGGATTTCTCGCGCGAGTGCTTTTTTTCCGGTGCCGCGAACGTGAGGGGCCGTGGCTGCAAGGGAACTTACGCGAGCGAGAAAACTCCCAACTTGACTACTCGCCATTCTCCTCGTGGCTTCGCCGCTTTAGTCAGAGGCTCAGCCGCGGGCGAAATCCAACTAGCCAGAAGGCTGGTGAGTGTTCCTTCAATTGTCTTTGAAATTGTCTATTGCTCTCTTCGTTTTGATATCTGAATCTAACCTTGAACTGTCAAGACATCGTTTTATTAGCATTAACAGAAGCATATCCTTCTGGTATCATGACCACTCTTACTTTAGCAATCTTTTAACAGATAACAACAGCTACTTTACCTGTAAAAAGCCACACGGTGTTCCCATAGTAACATCAAGAGACACATCACCCATTAACAGTCTACAAGGCAAATCATCACAGCACGGTTATATTTATACTTAGCTTGATTTAAGTGTTTTAATATGTATTTTCATAGATTTTCACATATACATGGCTATAGTTGTTTTATATCTGTATTTAATTTTTTGATTATTTGAGTGCCACGAGTTTTTTAGATTTTAGCTATTTAGTGTTACCCTCACTAAATAAAGTGTTTACTTACTAACTTACTATCTTACTTACGGTTCATCAAAACCTGATTAAAGCTAATCCGGGATTTAAAGTCAATCCAGTTCATTTACTAGTGTTGTTTCAAAGCGTTCTTACAGCGAAGCTATTTAAAGCCTGGTTCTCAGTTGCAACGCAAGCATAAGCATAAACATGAGCATATTAAAGGAGCTTATGCGCTGGTGAGGATGGCTGCGACATAAGCATAGGCATAACAATATCAAAACCTTACGTTCTTCTTATGCTTATCTTATGTTCAATGAGGACATGGTTGACAGAAGCATAAAGTGCTCGCTGATTGGCTGATAGTCCTATGCTTATGCCAACATGTCCTCACTGCACACAATAGCGACATAGGCATGAGAAGAACGCAAGGTTTTGATATCCTTATGCTTATGCTTATGTCGTGGGCGTCCTCACTAGCGCATAAGCTTCTTTTATGCTTATGCTTAGGACTAGTAATATCTTCTAACGCAGAAACATTTTCTCGAACAGAAATTTGGAAGAACGAGAAATGCTGTGGGAACATAAGCCGTAGGGTTGTTTTAGCTATTTTGCCTGAGATGACATAAACCCGATAAGTCACGCTCAATGCCTTACTACGATGATCAAGGAACGAAGAAGGTTATACCACAAGGTGCACTACTCAAGACCTTCTTCCACAACCTTGTTTCCAGGGTCTCTCTCTACCCGCCCCCAAGAGCGAGAGAAAAGAGGGGCGGGGAGAAAGAGACCCTGGGAACGAGGTTGCTTCTTTAAGCCACAGACCCTCCGTTATTCTGATTCCTTCCGCGGGCCGGCAGGGTAGGCCCGTAGTGGAGTACCGTTACTGACGACAGTGGCGAGTTCGCTTGTGGAATACTTACTTGCCACAGAAAAACAAGAGGAGTGAGTGAGGTTACAATAAGAACAGAGACGTTCATTGTTTTTCCCCATACCTTGCTTTACCAGACCTAAGTATTTGAAGTTTACCAATGTAACCTTCGGAAGCATCTTTGAGTGACAACCTTTTGGGTTCTTTGGGCTGAAACAAAAAAAATCAACATCCAAAAAATCAACAGCTCGACCCTGTTACACCTGTTAAATGTTATGGTTTAAACATGGACCCATTTGAAAGAGTTTTTTGTTGAGGTTAGAGTTAGGATTGAAAGACAAAAGCACGAATAGAACACAGCCTTACTATTCTTCAGTCATGGCTGGAACTCATTCATTCATTCATTCTGTCAATCTGCCTTTATTATCTCAACGCGAATATTTTAGTAGAGTTCCAACAAGATCTATAGGTTCTAGAACATCACACGCTAACTGCATTACCTACCCTAGCGTTTGGCATGTCGAGAACTACACTGTATGGGGCGAGAGCAAAAACACGTCGGAGAAGGGGGTGACGCCTGCTGCCCGGCCAGCTAGTTCTCTCGTCGTTCGTTCACCATTGCCTAAAACCTGCCCACCCACCCACCCTTGAGCTAGCATTTCGAGTGGGTATCAAGACATCGTTTTTCATTCTGCGAGGTCCATGTTTTGGGCTCTAGGTTTTCATGTGCAAGTTAGTTGATCAGGTTTTCAATACAGTCAGTTGTTATGAATGAATTTTTTTTTCTTGTCCGCTATATTGTTTAATAAGGTCATGTAGTGTCATTTGGTTCCGCATGGCATTTAGTTGTGTGTGAGTACAAACCTTTTCTGGTGTAGCTGTCTGGTCATTGGGTGATTCCTCTACAGACATGGGCTCCTCTTGATTGCCAGAAGTTAGCTTGATAGGCAACACATCAGGAAACTGGAAAAACAACAGCTTCCGGTCTCCCTGTAAAAACGGTGAAACCTCGTCATTTAAAAGTTACTAGGCATTCAAAAGTGTTACAAAATAGTAAGTCTTAACATTTCTTCCACCTGAATCCCAGTAGCGAAAGGCTAGAAAAAATAACCTCAAAAAAGGGATTGGGGTGATTGTAGGGAATTTTGAAAGGAACCCCTGAAAGAAACAGAATGTTGTTTTGTGGGCATACCAAGAAGTACCAGTTCTAAAGCATTTTCGTAATTTCTAGTTGAGATAAACAAGACTGCTTTGAAAATCTTCTCTGACAAGACAGTGGTAATTCCTGTGAGTCATATTTTATCTGACTGGTAAGTGTATCAGAATACCCTAAACAGTACTGTGATAACTCCAGTAGTGGTCATTTAAGATTTTACTGCTTAGCTGGAAGGATTTCATACCCAAGTGATTAGTTTTAGCGGGGAGTATCCAAAGAGAGAAGTGCCGTCACGAAGCCCTTGCCAAGTGAGAGACTGCCAGCTATGCAGGATCTCATGATAAAAACACCCGAGAGGTGGTACCAAGCCATTAATTTTCCATTGGAGTCCTTACGCTAATAAAAGACGATTTCGGAAAACACTTAAGCAAGAAAATTGACGTAAGTAAAGTAACGTGACGTTTCAATGACTTCATGTCATTATTGTTGAATGAAGAAATTAAAAATAACGACAAGGCATATTTATAGTACTATAAATATGCCTTTATAGTCATATTACTATATATGCCCTGCTGTTATTTTTAGTTTATTCATTCAACAATGATGACATGAAGTCGTCGAAGCGTCATGTTACTTTACTTACGTTAAGTCCTTACACTCCCAAACATAGAACTTAATAGTCTACTTAGATACCGACAAAACCACACATTTCTTGTAAAAGACATACACTCAGCAGTTTCACTGCATCCATACCACTGATGCAGCTGACAACACATTTGAAAGTGTCATTTCATCTGAAACTTCCTTTTTTATAGGTACTTGTTTCACTGGCTTTTTGAGTGTTTCCACAGGAGAAGCTTTTCCAGAATCAACCAAGTCCACCTCCATAGGTTCACTTTTCCCTAACAAAGCAGTTTTGAGAGAGAATATAACTTTGAGTTTGAAAAAAGCACACTGAATGCTAATACCGGTAATATAAGTCCACATGACTGCACCAGAGAGTGGTTCTCAGCTTAGGATGCATTGGATAAGTTAGTAACAATGGTAGTGGGATATGTAACACGACATTTAACCCAATTCACTTTGAATCACAGTAAGCATCAAGCATTAACACCTGCATTTCCTGCACAGGACAATTTACTTCCTCATGGTACCTAAATATTTAATCCTCCACCCACCCAAGTGTAGAAATAGTGGTGGATTGGGTAAGACAAGTGCTGGGGATAGCCTGCAATTTGACTAGGATTGGTTAAAGTATTAGCAATGCTCAGTATTTCCACCCGTTTATGCTAATTGAGATATCCCAAGAAGAGCCATTAAAATTACTAATTAGCTAAAACATGAAGTGCCATTTTTTAGAAGTGCGTAGTGGTTCACCAGGTTTCTGCCGTTTATCTCCAGTCACCAGGTCAGTGTAAGTTCAATAATGGTTTCTGAAGATGCATAGAATGAACAACCACTGCGATTAATGCTGGCTCAACTTCTGATTTCAGAGGAGTTGATTCTTGGTGCTGACCAAAAGGATTGTGGTCTCCGGGAACAAGACTGTCACCCAGCATTTTGTGAGGCTGGCAAAGCACTTCACTGGCAGTCATTTACAGTCTGATATCTTATAGTCAGATTAAAGGACTTTACTTGCCCATGACTACAGTGTAAAGATCTCAGCCACTGGTTTAAACCCAGATTTCTAACCATAAGGTTACTCCACCTCTTACAAAATGACCAATTTTATGAAAACCAATATAAAATTGCACCTTTTACATCAGTCTCCAATGCAGCAGATTCAGCTTCTTTCTCCTTCATTCTTAAAGCATGGAAAGTTAATGGTAGCTGCACAGGCATAGCTCCAGCATCACTCTCCACATCATCATCTATATTCCCCTAGATTACATGAGATAACAAGTTTCAGTCATTAAAGCTCCCTTCTTTTACTAATGTGAGAAATCAAGACAGGGGTTGTTCCCGTCAGCTGTAAAGTGTATGCCTAGCTAACAATGACTTGAAATTGTTACGAAAAACTTAGGTGTTGGTTACTAGTCAGCAGAGTTTAAAAATTTGACAGCTCAGACAGTCAGCCAATGCTCAATAATAATACATACATGTATATATAGCCACTATTAAAGGTAAGAAACATGCTTTGAACTTACACTTGTCTGCAGCATCTTAAGAACCTTTTTAGATTCATCCTCGTCAACCTCATCACCCCTACAAAAACATTTGCAAAAGTAAGCATAATTTGTGAAATAAGATATAGTGGCAATATTGAAAGCCACAAACCCAGACGTTATGAAGACAAGCATTGCTGATTTGATTGTGGCAATTAGTAGAACTCTGTGGATGAATATCTGGTGTGTTATCATTCAAATGAAAGCTATTAAACACAAATTATGTATCAGTTAAAGCAAACTTTTTGTTCATTATCAATAGTTAAATTTTATTTCTCAATGTACGCTAAATTACAGTTTACTAGTCTCATGCATGTTGCATGCATGTTGATGAGAATTACCAGCAGCACTGTAATTTTTTTTCTAGAATAGCAGTTGATGCTAGGTTACTCAGACCATTGTAAAACAAAGAAGGCAGTTCATTTATTGTAGACGTTTGGCCTTGTTACACTAAAACATTACCTTTCTTTCTTAATTTTTACACCAGAGACACCTTCTCTTCCTCCAGATGAACCAAAACTTGGAGTAGAAACTACTTGTCCTGGATATGGACAGAAAGTTTAAACATGAATGAAATTGTCACTGGTATTAAAATATAAAACTTCGCAAAGTTGTTCTAAAAAATTGTCTGTTCTCTAGGAATTTTCAAACTAAAAATTAAACAAAACAACAATTGAACATGGAAAACTGAACTTCATCAATAGTGACCAAAAGTGATATCTGATATGACTAGGCACTAGTGGTTACTACTTCTTTGGCAAACATGAAACCAAACCATTCAAGGAAGAAAAGGACCCCAGTAGGCAACAAAGATTTGCACCCTGCTAATACACCATCATAACATTTATCCTTACCAATTCTCTGCTTTTCAACAGGACCCACTCCCATGGAAAAAATTGACGATGCCTGGACAATGTTTGGCTTGCCCCTATCCCCTCTGCCCCTTCCTCGGCCCTCGCCACGCCCTCTGCCCCTTCCTCCATCTCGTCGTCTTCTCTCTCCGGAATTCTGATCAACAATAAACATCAGACAGTCTTGATTGCTATTTTTCGCTGTTAATTTTGAACTCTTGCATTTGAAATTATTTGACTGTGGAACAATTTCTATAGACATGCTCTTTAGTTCTAGTTACTAGCTATAAGTTAGTTTCCATTCAGAAAATAACAAAGGTTCACCCTTTGAAATTTGCTGCCTTGCAGTAGGAAATATAAGTTAGGAGTAATTGCTACCAATCATAACCATTTGCAGATCTGGGCTTAACTTGCGGACATCTCCTTATAGAAACAGTGCTCCTAGTTCCAGCTTTAACAATCCCTTAAATAAATTCATTTTGTGTCCATTTCATGTACTAAATGGCCACCTTGCTAACACTGGGAAAATGGAGTTTGACCGTTTTTACTGTCTTGTGGAAATACAAAAAAGGCATTATCTACGGTCTTATCATATACAATGTAGTACTTTATTTACTTTTTTCTATATGTGTGGTGAACAAATAAAAAGCTCTGATAGCAGGCATTTTATTTCTTGGAATACAAGAGGTGAGTGAAAGCGTGCTGCATGCAAGATGTAAGCTTTTGTATATCTTTCACACTCCCAGAAAGGAAGTATTACTGCCATGTAGGCTAAGATCAATACACTACATTTGGGTGCCTGCCTTTCTTACCCCTGCTGTTGGCGAGGCATCATCTTTTGGCCTAAAAATATAACAAAAATTGTTCGCAATCTGTGCTGCCAAATACTATCAATAAAATAGAACAAAGTTCAAATAGTGACAACATTGTTACTTCAAGATTTAACAGCCCTTTTTATTATTACTTTCAAAGAATTGTTAACATCAGGTTGTTGAAACATGCCCCTCACATGGGCCAGCCTGACATATTACAATTAGACATGTAAATTACATGAAAATATGCACATCACTGAAATATTAAATATTTCAAGAATGTATACTTAAAATAGTAAAATTATATTACATTTTGTAGCTTTTCATCAAAAAATAACACAGTACTGTATGAACCAAAAATATAAAATTTATCGAAAGAAGCAGTGTCAGAAAACCAAAGAAAGTATTGTCTTAAATGTCCATCACCAGTATGTTACCCTCCTTTTTTAGAAAGAAGAAATTTCACAATTTTGAAGTTGCTACTTCTGGGGTTATTACGTTATTTTACAGTTTTAGTAGAATCAGTGCCAAACACAACTTCGAATGTTTACTGTAACCTGCTTGGGGAAAAAGGTTTTCACTTGAGTGTCAAAAAGTATTACCACACTACACAATATTGGCTTAAAAAACTCATGCCACTTTTTCGTCCAATCATAAGGAAAACAAAAAAGAACTGTGACTGGTTTGCTCATGTTTTCCTGTGGTTTCTCATTTAAGCTACATGTAATTTACTTTACATTTTGAATGGTTCATTGGATTGTTGGTGTCCTGTGTGATTGGCCAGCTCTAATGACTAATTGGTTTTGGTTTTATGACACTCAACTGAAAACTGTACCACTACTTAATAAAGTATTTAAAAACAGAATGTCATCTGTAATCAAAGTGGCTTACTCCTGCTTGGTTCTTCTGGTGGGGATGTTTGGAGTAAAAGTTCTCTGTAAAAACAAAAGTGAAAGCAGTTAGAACAATGCAGCTATTATTTGGTTTGTGATCTTTGGGCAACACTTCTTCCCACTGATGGCTGAACCCATACCACAATACTGAGTGCAGCATAGCCAATGATACTGTAGCTTTGTTCATATATTCCCAGGGCTGCAAATAACAATTGGTTATCAGACATTGGCCGAACAAAATTTGCTCGTGTCTGACGAAATCCCAACTGTGGACGGACATGATGTCCAGACAATTTTTTATCGTTTAAATCATTTCACGGTAAGGATGAATAAAAAATTAATATACCGTGATGGTGATGTCTGACCACAATTTGCTTTGTCTGACCAAGATGGTGTCTTAGTAGCTAGGACATGTGTCCTTTCTAGAGAAAAAAATTATTTGCAGCCCTGTATTTCTGAGTAAATTGTGCCAAAATTTGTCTATTACACCAATAATATATTGATCAAAGGTCATGCCAGTTGTCTTATATAGTCACGGTGATACCAAACATCAGGATCTTAATGATGTCTCCTTCTGAATTAGAGAAACACCCGACATCAAAACAAAACAATGACAGCTTCAACCACATCAAGCACGTCCAATCAGGAGACTAATATATGGAAAAAAATATTACAAGTAATAACAGGCATGCGAGTCCAAGAATTAATTGAAGTAGTCTTAGCATTTAAACGTAAGTAAAAAACAAAATAATTTACTTTTTTTTGCCTATGGCTCTGAAAGTGGTTGGGGTGAAAACAGAAGGAAATGAATGTGGCATGGGGTTAAGAAGCTGTTAGTGGGGGATAAGTATTGGACAATGACACAAGCAATGTAGACATTTAAGATACTAACACTAACAGATAGAGACCATACAAAATATTGATTACTGTCTCAAGTAAAGCTAAGGCCACTTTGTCTATTTTGAATCAAATAATCATATGGCAGTCTTAGCAATGTGAAAATAAGGTCTTGACTACATTTAAGCCAATTCGGGTAACTTTGCTGCTGCATTAATATTTCACGAAAGTCACTTGCATGTAATTGCTGCCAAAAACAGATTTTATGTGCAAGAAATTGACTCCTGAACTTTACAGTTGTGTATTTATACATTCATCACCTTTGGAGTTACACTTAAAGAAAGCTTTGGTGATGCACCAAGAGTCAAATCTCTTGCTGGTCTAAGTGATGGCAATCTACCAGGACTGGAATAAAACACAATACAATGAAAATTACAGTGAAAATAACCTCAAAATATTAAAAAAAATAAAATTATTGTTAATCACCATGCAAGCACTAACGCATGGAAATAAAATACTTCACTTTCATACATTACACGCATGTTTCACTGATAAAAGGTAACTTAAAACCACTGAGAACTTATTCTCTTGATTCAAACTCGCTAGCCTATGCTGGCTGTGTGAAAAAAACTTTGTCTCAGCTCAAGTGATTGCTTTCTCAGGCAGACACATTTAACTGTTGGCCTGTTTTCCTTCACCACCACACTTCATATTGATGGCGATTTATTGAAATTAAAATTGTTGAAAATGTTTGAGCATCACAGAAAGAATTTCAGTCATTATACTATCTGCTAGTATTCTGACTTGTTAAGTTGCTTCACTCCCACACTATTCTCTTGTTCTTCCAATAGACTACATAATCAAACCACTTATTACATAAACACAGGTGAGCTTCTGCAAAAAAAAAAAGTGCATCTTCACATGTGGTCCATGTGAAAATGACATTGTTATCTTCACACATGAAAAGATCACTGTTGATATATGGCCGGTTACATAATAAATTACACCTTTTGCAGCACAAGTGAAATCATTTTGTATTTCATTGGTGTTTATATTAATAAATAGGACATTACATGGCCGTTTGGAGATATGAAGTTTCTTTCAAGTGTTCGACACTCGAAGAGAAATGATTTCGTAACTCCATGTTCATTGTAATATCCTCTATTTAATAGTCAGAGTGAATGCCCTGCGGGATCTTCAAAGTCTTGCAAAAGATCCTAAAAGATAGGGCACTTTCAAGAATCCTTAAAAATGACTAATACTCTGCAAGAATGCAAAAGATCTTAGGGGACTACCAGTACAATAATTATACTGGTAGTCCCCTAAGATCTTTATCTTTGCTTAATTATTAAGCAAAGATTCTTATGAAGCTCCTTGAATATCCTTGTTAGAAAATTCCCACCAAAGGTATCAAGTTGATAATCAAGTCCCTACCTGGGTGAAGCACTGTTTAACTGTCTTGACAACAAAGCTGAAAAATATACAACAAATTAAAGAGACGTTTAATAAACACTTTGTAATCTTCTCCCCATGATGGCCTTTCCAATGACATAAATGACATTAATGAAAATAAATACAGAGCTCTACTTTTATACAATCACGTACAGTACTGAATGATGTAATTACCATCAGTAATGATTTGATTTAGCACCTTCCTTCCAGTAAGTGCTGTCATTTTTAATATTAAGCACTCTCCATTGAATGTCGTCACTTTTAAAAGTGTGCATATAATTTTTCAATAAGCACCCAATTCCAATAAGTGCTCCCATGGCAATTCTCCCTGTAATATTATGTTGCATTAAAGATTTCAAAACAAGTGCAATGTTTCAGCCAGAAAATTTTACTTCAGGGCCAAAGTGGCCCCAAAGACTTTTTTTAGGAAAAGGGCCAATAATTAAAGAATAATTGGTACAAAATAGTCGCCAAATGCAAATTTTTGGTTGCCAGATACTAGTATGAAGGATCCGTGCATTACGAGAGAGTATGTAATCCATAGGCATACATGTACATGACAAAGTCAAGGATCAAGGGTTTGCAATGCATTATAGGGTGATTTCAAACACAGTCAGCAATTTGGAAGTTTGCTGATGTGAGAGAGTCAATACAGCAAAGCAAAAGGATGGATTGACTGTTTTTCTTATGTTGAATGTTTTAGAAGCAAAGATCTTTCAATATGTTTTTCTAGAAGGCCACACTGTGTGAGAAAATAACTGTTATTGATTAGCAACACAGAGAAATGTAGTCACCATTTAATATGGTGACTAAACCATAATTTTTGGTCACCAAGGATGAAATGTTAGTTGCATTGACGGAATGATGACAGTATCAACCATCAACCCTGGGATGGCTTTTAAAATACTATGCCTGTGTTAAGCCTGCAGCCTTGTAAAAGGAAAGGGCTTAATTGGCTCTTTTCTCATTTTTCTAGGGACCATCTCTAATTACAATACAGGATTCCTGCAATAGCCCGGTCTGGCAGAAACACTGCAAGCGTCTCATAAGTGTGAGAAATAAGCGATCAATACATGTCCCTAACAGAGAAGAAACACTGGCAACTGACCTCGAAACTGATATGCCCTTTAATGGCTTCCTTCTCAAGTTTTCCTACAGTTTTTACAACTTCTGGAAAGCACTACTGACTCTTTCACTCTAAAGGG